CTTATCTATCTATCTATCTATCTATCTATCTATCTATCTATCTATCTATCTATCTATCTATCTATCTATCTAACATCTAGGCATAATAACAGTTTTCCCCCCATGCCATCTCCAGCTTAAACAGCTAACACATGAATCATTACCTGTGTTCTGTAATTAATTTCTGTAATTCATTCTCCATCTTTAATTATTGCCTCTTTCTCAAGTATTATGTAAACACATATGCATAACTCTTTATTTATACAGCTGTATATAGAGTAAATAATGCACAAATCTGTACATAAATCTACTGTTCCAGATTCATACACATTATTATTATTTATTGTTAAGTCTTACTATTTAAATGTTTTTCTGTTCTAATGTCAGATGTGTATGTATGTATGTATGTGGAGCACCTTAAAAAAACCACAACAAATTCCTCGTGTGTTTGCGCACACCTGGCGAATAAAGCTAATTCTGATTCTGATTCTGATTCTATCTATCTATCTATCTATCTATCTATCTATCTATCTATCTATCTATCTACCTATCTATCTATCTGTCTATCCAAAACTGGAGTTTTGTTGCTTTAAATAAAACATTGGTAAATGGCACACTTAAACATTAACAAAATGTACTTTAAAATTCTAATTTAGCAGATAAAATTACAGTCCTGGAAAAAGGATAAAATATTGATGACTTATCTTTTTTATCATTTGTAGGTCACTTGACAAAACGTATACACAAAACAACAACACTAAAATATTCACAATGTATTATATTATGGAAGCCCATTTCTGCCACATAAGAAGAAAATCATGCTTTGGTAAATCATAATTACGAATTATAATATAAAAAGTCAAGTCAATGTTATTTTCATGTCAGAATTATGATTTTTCATCTCACAGTTTAAACCTTTTACTGTAAGTCGTATGACTTAGTATTTCATACTTTTGACTTTTTACTCTTATATGACTCAGTAGCCTATATCATAATTATGACTGTGTCAAGAGTTATTATCATTAACTAAAACACACACAAAAAAATAATTCGGCCTACTGTAATATAGAGCAAACATTAACTTTAAAATATAAAATAAACATTAACTAAAATAATATAAAAACTTGATTTCAGATAGCCAGGGCAACATTTCTTATTTTCATTTAGATTAAGCTGAAGTATTAAAAACTAAATAAATGAAAACTAAGAATTTCTAAGAATGTGTAAGATTTTATTTGATTACATATGAAATATTATGATGTGATCTTGTGTAATTGTTTTTTTTAGCACCTATTGGCACTTGAAGTCTTATTTTAGCAGTTCCTTCCATGTAATTGTCACCTTTAGTTCATTTCCAGGCATGTTTATTATTACTCTGTTATTTACAATGCTGCTATTTTTGTTAGGGGATAGAAGATACACAACAAGAATGTTGACTGCTTTCATTTCATCAGTTTCCATTTGGGCCTGACCCCATTTGCATTGGGGTGATTTGATGGTGGCAGCTGTGGACACTGCAGCAATGCCATGGCTGCCATGACGTCACTGGCCCTAAGAAACATTAATCTGCTGGGGGACATGGTTATGCAATTTTCTGAAATGCAGGGCTTTATCTATGGATTTCTCTCTCTAGACAGTGAGTCTGACCAGGTGTTCTCTGTGCAGTGTATAGAGCCAATGCAAACAGCATGTCTGTAATTTTATACTTGAGGACAGTGTGTAACTGTTTTCCTACATTTCACCCATACAACGGCCTACTGGTAAACTTCAATAACACTAAAATATTCACAATGTATTATATATTATGGATGCACATTTCTTGCCACATAAGACAGAAATTATGCTTTGGTAAATCACAATTATGAGCTATGACAAAAATTCAAATTAATTATAAATATGTTATGTCATAATTATGATTTTTCATCTCATAATTTCAACATTTTAAGTCATATGATCCATTATGTTATATTTATGTCATATTTGTTTATATATAATTCATATATTATTTGGACTATATATTTAATGAATCAATTTCTCAGCTGATTCATTCAAAAACACTGAATCATTCAGGAATGAAACGAGTGACGGTGTTTATGAGTGAGTCATTGACTCATTCACTTGATGATTCATTCAAAACCGGGATGCATTTAGTAACAAAATAAGACACAGTGGTTAATTATGATGCGGTTGACTTTGTTTGGAGCTATTTTCATTTTTGTGTGAAGGAAATCACTCACTATAGGAAGAACCAGTGCTGCTGACAAGCTCTGTTCCAAGACGCCCCTTGACCTTATAGCCCGAGGACTCTTCAGTCCAAACTAAAACCCCATGAGGAGGAACAATAGGAGCCACAGATCCCCTGATGAAGCCAGACAGCTGAAGCCTTGTTACATGCAGTAAAAGCCTCTTTATTGCACTGCTGTGTGAGCATGTGTACTGAAACTCTCTGCTCGTCTAGCATGGATCATTTCATATGCTTAGCACTATACAGTGAAATTCAATGGATTTTCCCACTAACCATTGTACCCCGAGTGCCAGAGTTCTTTGACAAGATCTGTTTCTCTAACATCTCCAGGCAACCCTGAGCTTGTCATGTCTGATGACATTTTATATTCCCTTAGGAGAATAACTGTTACATAACTGAATAATACACTATCCCCCTTATAAATTAAGACTACTGTAAGCACACCTTATAATATTCTTATTTAGTGTTATTTCAGGACTTCAATATTATAGTAAGGTTAGCAAAATAAAGTCTAATAAACTATTAAAATGAGAAACACTACAGAAACATTCCATATATCGTTGACATAAAAGGCTGTGCATTCAATCAAATTCATTTATCACTTAGTAATATGGCTAATTCTAATATTGGCCCAATGCATTTTCCATGTTATTTATGCATGTTAAGCTGGCCAGTTTTGCTATTCAGCCTTTATCAGGGTAATGGTTTTGAATGTTGTTGGGCTTATAAAGTGATACATTCAGTGTTTGAATTTAAAGGCATTTTTTGTTGACTTTAAGAATTACACTTAAACATATAATATAGTAGATACTAAGATAATATATATATATA